GAAGTGATTGGTCAACCCAATTGTGTGAGCTTCTGCAGTATCCTTGGTGCTGAGTAACTAGATAATTGGGTTAAACCAGGATTAAGGTCTTATCAGGCAAGATCAATGGAAGAGAATTGAGAGTATTTACATGGGATTGGTCAGGGAATTTATGAATTGGAGACTGGAGTTTCAGAGACTGGTGTGGGAGAAGGGTTATAACAACAGCAAATAACACTTATTAAAAGCACTGTGCCTGTATTAGTCTGTTTATGTTGCTTATAACAAAATACTCGGAACTGGGTAATTTCTAAAGAAAACAAAATTTATTGCTTACAGTTTCTGAGGTCAGGAAGTCCAAAGTCCATCTGGTGGTGTCAACAGTGACCCAGGGGTCTCACACTGTTAGATGGTGGAAGCAGAGAGAGCAGAGAGAGAGAGAGAGACTCTCTTCTTTTAAAGTCCTCAGAAACACACGCCTGACCACCATGTTTAATTCATTCACTGCTGCACAGTTCCACAACCCAATCACCTCTTCCAGGCTCCACCTTTCAATTACCATAACAGGATTTCCCACCCTCTTAATAGTCACAGTGGGGGCTGTTTTTAAGACATAAAACTTGGGGGACACAATTCAAGCTTCAGGGAGTTTTGGGGGGACACAATTCAATTCACTACAGTGCCCATCACTGCACATGTGCTAACTCATTTGACATGTTAGGAGCTGTATGGAGAATTGGAAGATGTGCTTCCTTTGGGAGATGAACGACAGGACGCCAGAGTGTGTAAAAGTGATACGTGTAAATGGGTTCTGAGGCATGAAGAGGCTGGTCCTGCAAATCACAGCATGAAGCAATAGGAAATTGCAGTTGCCTGTTCTCATTATTAGACATTCTGAGGCAATAGAATGTCGTGTAAAGATTACTAAGATATTTGGATCTGAAGTCAGAAGACCTAACGCTGAGTTCCGACTGTACCAAACACTCACTGTTTGACCATGGGCAAGTCTACATCTGGATTGGTCTCAGTTTATTTATCTGTAAAAACAAACAACAACAACAAACAAAAAAAAGAACACAAAATTACATGATGACTATGAAAGCACTTAACAAATTGTAAAGCACTTTTAAGTGACTGTTATAGTTGAGAACAGATCTATGCTTGAGGAAGATGATTTTGACAACAATGTGCATGATGAGTTAGAACAGGCGAGATTGAGATCATGTGAGTGTTTGAAAAATATTAAAACAGTCCAGGCATGGTGGGTGAGGACCTGAGCTAGGGTGGTGGCTGCAGCAATGGAAGAAGTTCCAGAGGAACTACAGAGAAGTATTAGGATTTGATCCAAATGCAGTCTCTCATGTGCTTTTCCAGACATGACTAGGCTAAATTAGTTACTGTGAACCCAGCCCAGTTGCCCAGTTACCCAACACCAATGGCTACCAAGGACTAGCTTTGGGGGTAGTGTAGAGTCGGGGTTAAGAGTTCAGGTGCAGGAATCAGACCTAGGTTCAGATACCAGCTCTATCAGCTCTGTGACCTTGGGCATGTTATTTAAGTCTTTGTTTCCTTGTCTGTAAAAACAGAGACACTAATA